TATATATATATATATATATATATGACACCGTTGCTAATATAAGAACATGAAAATAATTTATAACAAACTTTAAATTAAAATAAATGGTTTAGATTAAAAAGTTACAAATAAAATTATCATTTATTGTCATCATCTTTATTTCTCTCATTACTATTATTATAACCATCATCAACATTTATGTAAACACAATTATTGTCTTTATAACCCCCACTACTATTGTAATTACTAACACCACCATTAGTTCTTTCACCATAGCCACTGCCACCACCGCTTTTAATGATGGTAACAGTGGTGATTGCACTAGTTGTGGTGGTGAGATGACAACTATGTGATGGAGGTGACAATAGTAGCAACAATTGAAATAACATTAAAAAAATAATAATTATTATTATAATAATAAATTATGACAATGACAATATGTGATAACTTTGTTTATAATCTTTTAATACAAGACATTTATTTTAATCTAATAGTCGTTAATAGTTATCATATTAGTTCCCATATATATATATGGGAAATGCTAATATACTCCTACCTATTTTTTAGTGGGAGTATGTTAGCAACCTACACCAAAATTTTAAGACAAAAAAATCACTTGTTTATTTTAATTTATTTAATTCGTACAAAAGATATTATAGTAATTTAATTTAATTTTAAATAAAACTAAAATATTTCTCTTTCTTATTAATTTCATTCTCCAATTCATTTATTTATTTTATTAATTAATTTTTATTTTTTCAGAGAGGGGGGAGACATCATGAGAGATAATAGAGAAATGAGTTAAAGAAGGAATTTAATAGGAGAGAGATAAATAAGTTAGAGAAAGAATTTAATAAGGAAGAGAAATGAATTGGAGAGAAGAAATTTAATAAGAGAGAGAAATGACTTAGAGAATGAAGTTAATAAGAGAGAGGAAATATTTTATTTTTATTTAAATTAAATCAAATTACCATAATATCCTTTATACAAATTAAACAAATAAAAAGAAATGAGTGGTTTTTTGTCCTAAAATTTTGGTGTAAGTTGCTAACATACTTTCCCTAAAAAATAGGTGGGAGTATATTTGCATTTTCCTATATATATATATATATATATATATATATATATAGAAAGAAAGAAAAAAAGAATAAGAGAGCGAGAGAGAGTGTGTGTGAATATAAGAGCAAAACACCTATACTAACATAGACAAGATACATACA